GTCACACTTTCTCTCTCTAGACATATGACATATACAGGCGCTGACAACCTTTTGTCTCTAGGTGGCAGCGTTTCCTCACCTCTGGCAGGCGATTAAACCTGAGCGCTCGCTGCAGACTCACGTCCGGTTTCAGTCCTGGATAGTTCACCTCCATTAGCTTCTGAACATTCAGAGGCCGCTCCCGGATTCTGAAAAGCAAGTTATTCATTTATTTAATAGTAAAAAATAAACACATCACACCATTACATAGAAACTCAGTCATTAAAAGGCACAGTCAGGGTGTCCCATGCTAGTTATGCTAAGTTAATGCTTCTTTATGCTTAGCATTGTTCATTTGCTTACACCTAGGATAACTTTTAGCCAATATGTTACACACGGCAGTTTTTATAATAATTATTTCGTTTTTATATTGCTATTTTTTCCATATTTTGTGGCAAATATTAATTTACTGCTGCGCAATTTTACAAATTATCTTTCAGCTAACGTGAAAAGCTGTTTTTTAGCTAGGTTTTTTTTTTTTTCATTTGAGACGTGCCATGTTTTGTTTTTATGGCTTTATGTTTTTTTTTGAAAAAAAAAATTGTATTGTAGATGTCAATAATGATTACATTTTACTCTTAAGGAACAGCATGAAATAATAGTTACTTATAAATAGATAAAAAAATATGCCAATTATATTTTTTGAAAAATACTTTTTCTGAAATATCTTTTTTTTGTATTGAAAACACTAGCGTAGTAGCATAATATGAATTTGTAGTGGTATCGTAACAGTAGTACTTTAGTTGATAGAAACATTTAAAAGGCAAAGTGTGTGAATATAAAACCATTAAAAGACAAAAAAAATTATGGTTTCTGAACTTGATGATTGTGGCTTCACTCAACCCTTCAATCAAAAGTAAAGCCTGGAATTTACCTGCAAGAGCTCAGAGGAGCTGGCAGCACCACCCCAGCTGTGTAGACAGCCTGGCACAGGCCCTGCTGGTTGACCCGCCTGGTGACCTCTCTGATCAGAACTGGAGTCATGCGCTTGAGGCGCAGCTTCTTATGAACGCACAGGAATTTGACGTGCACCATCTGCCTCAGGCTGCACGACACATTCAGACCATTTGCTTTGAAACGTACGCCGTAAAATGGTAATGTAATAGCTGCTTCAGATCTGTTAGCAAGCAAGCGCTCTGAATGTTAATGTGACTTATCATCTTTTATATGAACTGTATACACAACATAAAAATCGCCTACTAAATTATGAACATAAATATACGCATATATTTGCGGGCATTGCTCACGTTTCATATACTCGGACGTGGGCAGGAGCAGCAGCGATGAAGCCGACTAGCTTCTTGTTGGCGCTAACGCGCACACCGCAGTGCCACTGGGTCAGCCAGTTAGGAGGCTGTAAAGTCCTGAGGAGGAGAGAATCAGGGTTTCTGCAGTTAGAATGAATGTAATTACAGTTAAGTGACCCCTGATTCATCCCAGCTTCCAATTAAGGACTGAGCAAGAATTCATGAGGCTGAATGAAAAGGGTTAGTGTCTCCTAAGCTCTGGGTCGAGACACTGCTCCGTTGTTGGATTCTTAATTATTAGTTTCCCAGTAAGTGTTATTAGCGTCAGCTGCAAGTGTTCCCCGTGGGGTAGGATACCTTTAATGTTATTACAGTTTAACTTTCATGTGTTAACCGGCAACAGATCATTAAAAAAATATTTTTTTACTTTATGGCTCATCATTCATCCTGTGTTAAATTAAAGGGAATAGAAAAGCTATCACTGGGTTTTGGTCTTTCACAATATCAGTTACTTCATAGAAATAATTGAGATGTGGTGGATATAAAAGAACAGATTTGTGGGCTCGTTTTTGGCTAACCAATATTTAGCAATATTTCAGCTTACTTAAAAGAGCATTTTTGATGATTAGATGTATTTGAAAATCTACTG